AACAGTGCTGGACATAAAACCTGTGTGATACCCACATGTATCTTACAACAGTGCTGGACATACAACCTGTGTGATACCCACATGTATCTTACAACAGTGCTAGACCTACAAGTTACAACCTGTGTGATACTCACATGTATCTTACAACAGTGCTGGACATAAAACCTGTGTGATACCCACATGTATCTTACAACCGTGCTGGACATACAACCTGTGTGATACCCACATGTATCTTACAACAGTGCTGGACCTACAACCTGTGTGATACCCACATGTATCTTACAACAGTGCTGGACATAAAACCTGTGTGATACCCACATGTATCTTACAACAGTGCTAGACATACAACCTGTGTGATACCCACATGTATCTTACAACAGTGCTGGACATAAAACCTGTGTGATACCCACATGTATCTTACAACAGTGCTGGACCTACAACCTGTGTGATACCCACATGTATCTTACAACAGTGTTGGACATACAACCTGTGTGATACCCACATGTATCTTACAAACGCTGCTAGACTCTATGCTTGAGGTGTGGGGGGAAAAAATCAATGCTAGTGAATAATGAGTAGTTGTGTGCAGTTTGTCTGGGGGCGCGTTAAGTGAGTGGTTCTACAGCTGTAATTTGAGAACCTGTCAGGGGGGGGGGGGGTAGTGGAGACAAATCATGGGGTGGGGGAGACAATTCATAGGGGGGGAGGGGAGATGTGGAGACTGGAGACAAATACCTTGAGGGTTTCCGGGACGAGTACTTTATGGTCTAATTGAAACTAGTGTTTACGAGACTGGTTAAATAAACCGGTAGTGATCTCCCCTAAACTTTCTCGAATATTCTTATATAAAACAACAGGGGATGGTAACTGGGGATATAGTTATGATCTTTAATCCATTTTAAATACTGAAACTTTTAAAAATAGAATAGAATCTCAGTAAAAAACAATTGCGCACCAAGCGAACGCCTAATAAAGGTGTGTATAATAGTGCGCAATAGTATTAGTACTTTATAAATTTACATTAGTTTTTTGAGAAATCGGAAGTAGCGTAAAGTACTACTTCCGGTCAACGGAAATTACTCAAAATTTAACAGAAGGTAGAGAATTAGATCTTTTACTTACATGTAAAATTTCATTTATCTATCTGAAATAGTACTCAAGTTATAGGCTTTTGAAAAATTCAAAGTAGAAAAAGTACCACTTCCGGTTATCCGAAATCGCTCAAAAGTTGATACGGATCTACGATTTTGATATAATACTTGTATATGAAATTTCATCAACCTAGCTGTAACGGTACTCAAGTTATCGTGTTTACACACGGACACACACACACACACACACACACACACACACACACACACACGGACACACAGACATACGGACAAGATTGCAAAATTATGTTTTTCCGTATCAGTGAGATGTAAAACGTCGAGATTTGCAAAAAACTCGATTTTTTTTTTTGCACGATTACAAGACTTTCTCTATACTTCGTATATACGAGAAAGTAAAAAGGAATCGTCTAAGTACGAACGGCGATGCTGCTTTATAAAGGAACATCAAAAAGTACAGAGCGAAATGTAAATTGGGCAGAGGTGGTACGTCTAATCACAGTAAGGCACATCTACTCATTACTGTTTGAATATGAGAAGCACTTGGACTAATTATGTCAAGTGATTTTAAAATCTTCTAATCTAAATTAAATTTTAATGTGTTTGCCAGATGAACCAACCACACAACCACACGCCACGCACCACAAAACCACACCACACCACGCCACGCCACTTCACTTCACCAACACATCCACACACCACTCACAACAAAACAACAATGTAAATGTGATCTATTAACTACCGAACCAACGAACCGCTGTCGTCACTAATCTGATTTTTACTGCTAGTTGGTAAAAAAAAACTTTTTAAACCAGAGTGTCTTTTAATGCCAGGAATAGCTCCATTAAAACAGGAGTTACATCAAAGAGACTTACAATGCTGTTGTATAAGTAGACGCAACTAGTAGACACCCGGCATTGTTTTATACGTTGATGCATTAAGGAGACATATAATATTGATGCAACCAGCTGTCATACAGTATGTTTTTATAAGTTGATGTATCAAGGATACAAATAACAATGGTGTATACTTTCATAAATCAATAAATAGAAGCAAGAAGCAACCAACACAATGTATTGTTGTATAAGCAACCAACACAATGTATTGTTGTATAAGCAACCAACACCTTATATTGCTGTATAATCAACAAACACACTATACTGTTGTATAAGCAATCAATACAATGTACTGTTGTATAAGCAACCAACACACTATATTGTTGTATAATCAACAAACACACTATATTGTTGTATAAGCAACCAATACAATGTACTGTTGTATAAGCAACCAACACAATATATTGTCGTATAAGCAACCAACACAATCTATTGTCGTATAATCAACCAACACAATGTACTGTTGTATAAGCAACCAACACACTATATTGTTGTATAATCAACAAACACACTATATTGTTGTATAAGCAACCAATACAATGTACTGTTGTATAAGCAACCAACACAATATATTGTCGTATAAGCAACCAACACAATCTATTGTCGTATAATCAACCAACACAATGTATTGTTGTATAAGCAACCAACACCTTATATTGCTGTATAATCAACAAACACACTATACTGTTGTATAAGCAATCAATACAATGTACTGTTGTATAAGCAACCAACACACTATATTGTTGTATAATCAACAAACACACTATATTGTTGTATAAGCAACCAATACAATGTACTGTTGTATAAGCAACCAACACAATATATTGTCGTATAAGCAACCAACACAATCTATTGTCGTATAATCAACCAACACAATGTATTGTTGTATAAGCAACAAACACACTATATTGTTGTATAAGCAACCACACACTACATTGTTGTATAAGCAACCAACACACTATATTGTATATAAGCAGCCAACACACTATATTGTTGTATAAGCAACCAACACACTATATTGTTGTATAAGCAACCAACACACTATATTGTTGTATAAGCAACCAACACACTATATTGTTGTATAAGCAACCAACACACTATATTGTTGTATAAGCAACCAACACAATATATTGTTGTATAAGCAACCAACACACTATATTGTTGTATAAACCTAAACCACACCGCGTGTTGTAAAACGGTGCACCCCACGTCTTAAGCACAACTTGAAGACGTTTTTTAACTGCTAGCTTCATGCAGATTTATCTGGCCACCCGAACCATGTCTAAACGATATCCACAAATAAATGCAATTAAGAAAACTCCATTTGTTTAATGGGTTTGGCTTGCAGCGATTTTCATGTGCGGGTGGGTTTGTCAGGTCCCCCGGGGGATGTAACACACGGGGGGGGGGGGAGATACATGGGATGTGGTTTATTTACAGAAATGTGGTTTACATCTAATGTGTTTTAATAAGATGTGCTATGCAGATGTGTTTGTTTATAGACGTGGTTTTTGGTTAAATATGTTTTTCACATGATGTGATTTACTTAAAATGTGATTCACGCGAATCTAATATGTAGAAATCAAAATTATATGAACACAAATCTAGCATCGAATGAATAAATCCCCTTGGTGACTATCTGATTGGCCAATATTTCTTATATAGATTTATAAAATCACTTTAGTGACCCCTATTTTTTTAATATTTGCAACATACGTTTTTTTAATTATCTAACAAACAACCCATTTAAGAAGATGTTAACTCTGTATTATTATTTTTTTTAAAACAACGTTCTTCCTATACCTATCCTGTGCTAAAATTAATTTGTTTTAAAACGGAACTCTACATATACTCGTGATCAAAGCACTTAAGTGTCTTAGTCTTAATTTTTAAAGTAAAGAAAAATCTAATTAGATTCTGACATGTCGACATTTGCAGGCTGAAAGTGATGAACTAATATTCGACCGTATGAAATTGATGAACTAATTCTCGACCGTATGAAAGTGATGAACTAATGCTCAAGCGTATGGGAGTGATGAACTAATGCTCGACCGTTGGGAAGTGATGAACTAATGCTCAAGCGAATGGGAGTGATGAACTAATGCTCAAGCGTATGGGAGTGATGAACTAATGTTGGGAAATAAACAACATAAGTACACAATTCATCTTCCGAAATTCATTAATAACATATGAGCACTTTGTCGATTACTTGCTTTGTTTAAGTATGATTAAGTCTTAATTAGTTTCTTTCATTAGAAAATGCAATCGACACAATTTAGATGCCCATGTCAACACAAAAAAATCATCCGGATTACATCGATTATGGTTTTCTAATATAATGTACTGTTTCGTTAGCACACGGAAGAGTATTTAGTAGTACTTTTTTTCTGGTTTTTTTTTTAATAATAATTTTTAGAAAATGTTTTAAATTTGTCTCTATAGTGAAAGGTTCGAATAGTTTACATGATAGACATACTTGACTAGAACAGTAATGTCCCCGCATTTATTCACACATACAGCCGCGTTTAACCCGATAAAGCATACAACACGCAACATCAACATGTAAACACTTTCTTGCTATTTACGTACAGTTATTTAACAACAGTAATATATATATATATATTATAAATATAAAAATCTGACTTACAACTTTAGATGTAATTTCACAACACAGATACACACTTAGCTTTGAAATTAATCTTTAATAGAAACATACATTAGGCTTATAATTGAGTTTAAGATTCTTCTGTAAAACAAACGTAAACTGACTTATATATTGATCTATACAACAAAGATAGATATAACCTAAAACTGACTTATAACTTGATCTTAAAAGAAAGCTAGAAATATTAACCTAAAACTGACTTATACATGGATTTAAAAAATAGATATAACCTAAAACTAACTGTTACATTGAACTATACAACAAAGCTAGATATAACCTATAGCTGTTTGTTACATTGAACTGTACAACAAAAAGAATGATTCAACTGACCTCACCGACATGAGTAAAGAAATGTTTGTAATTGTCCACATACCCAACCGTTCTTATGGCAGACGACAAAAGAGGGCGTTCACGGCCTGCCGCCTGTCCACGCGGCAGACCCAGCCACTGGCACAGTCCGCGCCCCCTCCCCCTCGGGCACAGTCAGCCCCCCCCCCTCCCTACCCCCACACCGGCACAGTCCGCCATCAGCGAGAGTTTCTCACGAGAATCGATGGTGCTTGCAGTGGAAGAACTAGAGCCGTATCACATGATCAGTGGGTACAGGTGGCGCCATCAGATGCTAGCGGTTGATGGTACATTCATTAGGCTTGACCCGGATGGTGATTAATTAGCGCCATTAATTGCCTCATTCAATCAAATTGACTTTACGCCGATAGGAAAAACAGATCTATTTGTCTTACACTATAAAGGTTTGTACAGATAACACAGTAGGCCTATATGAGTAGAGAACGTATACCATTAACAATAACAATCTACACACTAAACACGGAAAACAAAATTACAGATATTAGAAGCTACGTAGTAAAAATAAAGAAAAAAAATAATCAAACACATTTGAAAGCTATAGTGGCTGATTCCTCTAATTATTTGCATAATCTAATTAACAGGCGCATGCTATCATCAAGTGAGCCTCTCATTCAGCCATATAAAAATGTGACGACCTTGACACTACGGGAAGTTCGCTAACCTGAAGACGTAGGTTTGACCCATAACCAGACTTGTGAATGTCAATAAAAAACACTTCTTCATTTGGTTTTTTTAACCTGTCTGAGATAAACATCTGAAGATAAACATGTATACACCCCCCACACCTCACCATTTACCGTCCTCTGTACCTCCCATCCCCGTCCCTCCCACGTATATCTCTCGATGAACTCTATAAAGACGCTGTCCATAAAAGTGATGCGGATATTCATTCGAGCAAACAGGTTCTACACAAGTGGTATCATAGTATCAACGGTTGGGTCATGCTTGATCTATGTGTGTACTCGTGTCTTGGTAGCTTCAATACAATAGCTTATAAACAAACATCCCTTCTGACGTCACTTGAATCCACACGGCTACTGTCTTTATGGTCTCAGTCTGGTGTAAGTCTGTTTTACACAAGTCTGTCTGTCTACTTCTTCTTCCTCGTTCTTAAATTGTGATATTGGACGGTATTTTATCCAACATAATTATTACGTGTCAACTTGTTATGCATCATATATGTGTTGACTCCGATTTCAGCTGCTTTTCTTTTTCTTTTAAAAAATGTGATTCCAAAGCCTTTGCCCACCTAAACACAAACTACAAGGCAGTTCGGTACTATTGGGTTTAGCAACCATGAGCTTTACCAACACGACCACGCCGACACCACCAGTCTGATTCAGCCAATCAGACTATGGGGTTCAGACGGTACATGAGTAGAGTCAGACACACACTGTAGATTAGCTATACTTCATTGCTAGGGAATTACCGTTAAGAAGGTTTTAGATTCTAATCACTAGTCTGGAACAAATTCTTGGATCTGATTCGTCTTTGACCGGGTCATGGGTCGGCCAGTGGGCATTGACCTCAAGTCATTAACACCAGTATCGTTTGGTGGAATCACAATCCACAACCTACTCTTATCTCCTCTCTCTGTACTTATCACCTTCCCTTCACTCCCCCCCCTCTCCTCCTCCATCATCTCACTACTTCTCTCTTATCTTTCCTCTTCCTCCTTCCCTCCTACATCTTCCCCTCTATTTCTTCGCATTTGTACTCCCCTTCTCACTATCACCCTTTCACCCTCTATGCTCGTTTGCCCTCTTTCATCTTTCTTTCTCCTTATCTCCCTCCCTCTATCACCCTCCCTTCTCCCCTCTCCCCCCCCCCCCCCCTCTGGTTATAACTGCCCCAAGTACAACAACCATTTAAGGCCTCACTTGTTGGCTCAAAATTTCCGTTTTCAATTTTCGGACAACCGATAAGCGATCGATTCAACACTGGAGCTCAAACGGTCCATCGAGTTTTGTTAGTTTAGGATATAATATGAAAATCAATTACTTGTTGCAGTGGGTGTAGGGGTCAGTGGGGTGGGGGAGAGATTCGGTGTTTCAGTCAATTAACTAAAACTCTAAAAACATGTCGATATAATATTTTGCTATTTGCACAACTAAGTGATCGTTGAATTACCTCCCTTCCTAAGTGTCATCTCCCCTTACTAGTTGGCGTTGTGTGAACTAGCCAGTTATATTTAACCATAGCCAGATCTTTCAGATTCATTTTAATTTCAATACAGGTGTGCACGATACACATATACACGCTCATGTACAAACATACATGCACCTATACAGTTCACATATTCTTCGACCATAAATCAAGATGCCCTAAAATGTTAAGTTACTATAGATCTTCAGTTAATATCCCTTTGGATATTAATGTTGCTTATATTATTTATCAACATTTTCCCACGTTTTCTTTAACTTGCTTTCTCTGTTTGTCTTTCCAATCAAATCTTGCGATCGAAATTTCTGGCACTTCCCAGTTAGCTAGCGCGCTGAAATTTTCAGGGAAGCTTTCTTTTGGATGACCATTGAATATTCAATTGTTATTATTACTAAATTGATCAATGGAAACATTTTATTGAGCATTTTAGACCGCTATATAATCTATATATATAATTATCCTCTGCTAGCCATTAGAAAAAAAAACCAGCGACGCGTACCTCGCGCGCAGTGAAGCGAACGATCACATGTCGCCACAGGCTTAGGGGCAGAGAATTTAGCTTGAACCGAGTTTAAACTTACAGGAGGTAGGCCAGTTTGGGGGAGACGATATGGTCGAGTGGTTGGGCACACGATTGCTATCCCACTCGACACGGGTTCAAATCTATGTGTTCTAGTCAGTAACGTATTCAAACAACGTGTTTTTTACGAGTTGTCTTTTTACGAGTTGTCTTTTTACGAGTTGTCTTTTTACGAGTTGTCTTCGTTTACCCAAAAAAAGTGAAAAGATAAAATCGATAGCAAGATTTTAATGCAAACAAACAGACAAAGACTAAAAAGTAGAAAATAATAATCATTAAAAAAGTTTTAAAAAACCCACGTTTTCTGATTGAACTAAAAAGTAGAAAATAAATGCTATAGGCCCTACATCACAATAATGCAAGCGATCACTCTACTATAAGCGAGCAAAAACGTGGGGCGCCGTGATTTTCTTACAGTTTCTAATACTGTTGACTCTCTACAAGCTCCCTAATAAAAGTCAATAGTATTATCTAATCAATAGTAATATAACTTTTACTTCGGCGACCCACGTTTTTGATCGCTTATAGTAGAGTGATCGCTTGCATTATTGTGATGTAGGGCCTATAGCATTTATTTTCTACTTTTTAGTTCAATCAGAAAACGTGGGTTTTTTTAAACTTTTTTAATGATTATTATTTTTAATTGGGAGTGATAGAGCATCATCAAGCAATAACCATTTCAACGTCAATGTATCATCAAGCAATATCCATTTCAACGTCAATGGATCATCAAGCAATATCCATTTCAATTTTAATGTACAACCCAAATGTTAAAAGCCATGTTTAAGGCAAAAGCCAAGCCGTTGAGACAAATATTTACAAGGGTTAAGGCCGTCCTTTTTTAGCACAGCGCGCGCAAGCCTACAAAACTGGTGCACATCTTTCTAGCTTGGAATAATTCTAGATTAAATGTTTGTTTTTTTAAACTGAAGATTTCCAGGAGCCGCAGAGCCTCTCTGATCACACGGGCAGATGATCTTAAACGTAATGTTTACTGGGCGGGGTGGGCTGAGTGGAGTGGCCGCCACTGCTTGCTTTGGGTGAGTTTGGTATATCTGTCGGATGTCTTCAGTGGCGAAGCTAGGGAAGGGCGGGTGGGGCGGCCGCACCGGGCGCCGACCCTAAGGGGGGGGGGCCAAAAGGGTTAGGAAAATTAAATTAAAAGCTCATTTTAAGCTGAAGTATAGAATTATACACAGTCAAAGTTACGAAAATGAACTAATACAAGGCTTTACACTGATTTATCTTTTTTTCTATATCAATTTTAAGGCTGGTATATAGAAAATGGTTAAGATAGTAACTGGTAAGAAGCGCCACAAACCTTTCCTACTGAGGGGGGGGGGGGCTTTTTCACAGATAAAAATTACCATATATATATATATATATATATATATATATATATATATATATATATATATATATATATATATATATATATATATATATATATATATATATATATATATATATATATATATGGGAGGAAGCTGGGCGCCAAATTGAAAGTCCGCCCCGAGCGACGGAATAGGTCGCTACGCCTCTGGATGTCTTGGGCTGTCACGTTGTTTGTTGACTTGTGTTGTCACGCTACAGTCTGATGTCACGAGATGATCTGTTGTCACGCTATGGTCTGTTGTCACGCTAAAGTCTGTTGTCACGCTATGGTCTGTTGTCACGCTAAAGTCTGTTGTCACGCTATGGTCTGATGTTACTCTAAAGTCTGATGGCCTTGCATGTTCGCTTTAGTATTACAGTTTTCATCTTCGGCTTGTAAGGACTGATACAGATTTACAATAGTAATACTTCTTTCTTACATGTACTTTCATTCATTTAAGATGGTTTACTTATAGATTGATATAATACAAAACGTCTAATTAAAATTTTATTTTTAAACCTCAAAATGCAAATGTGTAATTAAATAGTGGTTCGAGGGATTTGTTTGTTTTTTATTTAATTATTTTTTGGGGGGATTTGTTTTCATCGGCCATTTTCCATGGCAAAAAAAAGTGACCAGTAACTAGATAATATATACTTTATTGAGAATATATTTCTTCAACAAAATATACATTTAATTCAGTTAATGTTTTCAATATAAGCTTAAATCCATAGATATTTATAAAATTTAAGAAGTATAAATAGTAGACAAAAAAGCATTCAGTTTTAAAACATAAATTTCCACAAAATAATAAACCATAATCTGCTTATTTTATTTTGTTACTATTGAAATATATCTCTAAATTTAAACTACTTGTTTGAATACAGTTTCGGTTGTATCCCTTGGTAAAATATGAATTTACAAAA